TTCTACGTATTGGTTGGGTTATATTTCCCTATCTTGGAGAAGTGGTCTTATGTAAGGAGTATCCTGTGGGGCCCAGCAGAACACTGTCTTCCGGACACCAGAGCAGCCCCAGGGCTGCCCTCTGTGCGGACCACTTGGCTCCTTCTGTGGGCAGTCTGGGAGGCACACTTGCCCCCAGCCTGGTTGTCTGGGAGGCCGTACCCCGTGGACAGCTGCCCTCTGTTGGTGGGTGGGGCTTGGTCCTGGCCTGGCTGGCTGCATGGTGAGAGGAGTCCTGGTGCTGGTGCCAGCCTGCTGGTGGGTGAGGCAAGATCAGGAGGTAGTTGGCTATGGAGTCCTGGGGGGTGGGGGTGGGGTGTCTGCTGCTAGTATCGGCCTGCTGGCAGCCAGGACCAGTGCGTGACACAGCTGCTGAAGAGCCCAAGGTACTCTGAAGTTGGTGTCTGCTCATTGGTGAGTAGGGCAGGGCCCTCAGGGTCCTGGACTGGTACCTGTGCGTTGGTAGGTGGAGCTGAGTTCTGGGTTCTTTGGCTGTGGGGTCTGAGGGCCCTAGAGCTGGTGTTGACCCTCTGGTGGGCAGGCCAGGGTCCTTGGGCTCCTGGGGCTGGTGCCTCCAGCTGATAAGTAGGGCCAGGTCCTGGGCCCTTTGGTGGGTGAGGCAGGATCAGGGCTCAGAGGTCCTACGACAGTTGTCCTGCTGGTGAATGGGGCTGTTCTCACTCAGCTACCTGCCAGGACTGGTTCTTACTGGCTGGAGGGTAGGGGCAGGTCCCAGCCCTAATAAGCAAGGGAGAAGATTAGAAAATGGTAGATGCCAGCACCAGTGTCCCCAAGGTAAGTACTAATTGCCTCTGCCAGTCTGGTAGGCTCTGCAAAATTGGTCAGTGGGTCTGATCCAGGCTCCTTCAGATTGCTGCTCTGTCCTGGGTCCCGAAGCATGTGAGACTCCCTTTAAGAGTGGAGTCTCTTATTTCCCGTAGCCCTCTGGCTTTCCAGAAATTAAGCCCTGCTGACCTCCAAAGTCAAGTGTTCTGGGACCTCATCTTCCCCGTGTGGTACCTTCAGGTGGGGAGCCTGATGTTGGATTTCTGGAGTTTGGATCCTGACTCTACCACATCTCTGCCTTTCTACCCATGTCATTGTGATTCCTTCTTTATGTCTTTAGTTGTAGAAGATCTTTCCTGCTAGTCTTCAGGCTGTTCTCATTGATAGTTGCTCTATAAGTTGTAGTTTTGGAGTGCCCGTGGGAGGAGGTGAGCCCAGGGTCTTCCTACTCCACCGTCTTGGCCCTCACCAGTTCTTAATATATTCTGGACATTAACCCTTATCAGATATTTAATCTGCAAATATTTTCTCCTGTTCCATTAAGAATTCCCATTCCATAGGAATACCATAGGTTTCTTTTTCATTTTGTTGATGATTTCCTTTTGTTGTGCAGAAGCTTTTTTGTTTGATGTAGTCCCACTTATTTTTTATTTTGTTGCATTTTGGGAATCTGATTCTAGCATTAGACTGAGTGAAACAGTATAACAATGACCAAATGAAAATTGAAAGTTGAAATGCATTATATTATTTCATTTTAGGATCAAGTCTACTTTAATTATATGGTTGATTTTTCTCTTTTCTAGGTGTGTAGTCAACATATTTGATTCTTGATGTATCAACAGCTTTAGTATAAAATTATACTTTTTAAAAATTTGCTAAAATCTTTCAGACTTGGCACATTCCCTGTGAGCATGAAATCCATTTATATAGGCAGATAGCCTTGCTAAAGTAAATCAAGTGGAAAACTTGGCTTCAGATGATTTAAATCTTAGGAGTAGGTTTAACAAGAGATACACAACACATGTATGCTAAAAATCATGAAACATTGCTAAGAGAAATTAAAGAAGACCAAAATAAATGAAAAGATAAGCGATATCATAATCATGGATAGGAAACTTAATATTGTTAAGATAGCAGTTATTCCCAAATTGGCCTAATGATTTACTGTAATTCTAATCAGAATCTTAAAAAGACTTTTTTTGTAGAAACTGATAAACAGATTCTAAGATTTACCAGGAAATGTGAGCGATAGACAATAACCAAAACAATCTTGAATGTAAGAACAATGTTGGAGGATTTATTCTACCTGATGTTTAAGATTTACTGTGTATAAAGCTACCTAATCAAAAGAGTATAGTATTGTTGTACAGATAAATCAGTGAGACAGAATATATTCATAGATGTATTGTCAGTTGACTTTTGACAAAGATGCCAATACAATTCATTATGGAAAGGAAAATTTCAACAGATGGTGCTGGGAAAATCAGAGATCTATGTGGAAATAACATTAACCTTGATATTACCTCATGCCATTCACAAAAATTAATATGGGGTAGATCATAGATTTAAATGTAAACACAAATTATGAGCTGTCTAGAAGAAATACAAGAGGATGCTTGTGCAAATCTGAGGTAGGCAAAGTTTTTTTGTTTCCCTTGAGAAAGGTTTCGGAACACTAGAAGAAAAAGAAGACAAAATAACTGCATCCAAATTTAAAAGTTCTGTTTATCAAAAGACAGCATCAAGAAAATGAAAAATCAATCTATACTTGGGGAAGAATAGCCACAACATATTATCTAACAAAGGATTGGCCATAAGATCTGTTCAACAAATCCTTTACCAGAAGAATCTATGAATGGCTAAAAAGCACATGAAAAGAAATACAGTATCATTAGTCATCAGTCAACAGATTATAGCTACAATTTCATGTCATTTGCCACTTGCTAAAATTATTAAAATTTAAGACTTACATTGTTTTGGTGAGAATGTCAAGGAGCCTGAAACTCTCATATGCTGCTTGTGGGAGTGTAAAATTCTGTGCAACCATCTCAGAAAACTGGTAGTTTCTTACCCTCTGACACAACAGTCTCACTCTTAAGTATTTTCCCAGGAGTAATAAAAGTTCATATCTGAAAAAAATGTATATAAGCTTTACTTGTAATAGCCCCGGACTGGGAATACTAAATACTTGTAAACAGGAGATTTTGCATAAATTGCAGCATGTTCATATGGTGACATTTTGCTCAGTGATGAGAGGAAAACATGAACTACTGAAACACAGAAAAACACGGCTGAAGACAAATGGATGAGGAAGCTGTGGTACATATACACCATGGAATATTACTCAGCCCTTAAAAAGAATTCATTTGAATCAGTTCTAATGAGATGGATGAAACTGGAGCCCATTATACAGAGCGAAGTAAGCCAGAAAGATAAAGACCATTACAGTATACTAACACATATATATGGAATTTAGAAAGATGGTAATGATAACCCTATATGCAAAACAGAAAAAGAGACACAGATGTACAGAACAGACTTTTGGACTCTGTGGGAGAAGGCGAGGGTGGGATGTTTCAAGAGAACAGCATCAAAACATGTATATTATCTAGGGTGAAACAGATCACCAGCCCAGGTTGGATGCATGAGACAAGTGCTCGGGCCTGGTGCACTGGGAAGACCCAGAGGGATCGGGTGGAGAGGGAGGTGGGAGGGGGGACCGGGATGGGGAATACATGTAAATCCATGGCTAATTCATTTCAATGTATGACAAAAACCACTGAAATGTTGTAAAGTAATTAGCCTTCAACTAATAAAAATAAATGGAAAAATAAAAATAAAAAATAAAAAATAATTAAAAAAAAAGAAAAACACGGCCGAACCTCCAAATTATGTGGAATCGGCAAAGCCAAAGAGAAGACAGTGCTGACTATGTATGAAATTCAAGAACAGGCAAAACTGTGCCGATGGAAGTCAGGTTTCGATTGCTGTGAGGAGGGGAAGAGTGACTGGAAAGGGCCTGAGGGGTCTCACGGATGATTGGGAATATTCTGTGTCTTGCTTGGGATGGTGGCTACATGGTTGTATGCCTTTGCCAAAATGCATGAACTGTACGCTTAAGATCTGTGCATTTCACTCTATAAATTTAACTTTGAAAAGGCCATTGTGTTTCTGACTTTTAGCAAGAATCATACCAAATGATTTCTTTTTTCTGTTCAAAAACTTGATCTTACTTCCAAGACTCCCTTTAAACTTTCTTAAAACTTACAATGGCTTGTACTTTTCTCTTTTTATTTTGCATCTTTGTTTTACTTCTTGTATCTGTGTTAATCACATGCTTTTTTTGTTCCATAATCTGTTGTTTTCTGATGTTGATGTCTGTTTCACAGCTAGATTTCACTTACCGAGAAAGATATATTAGAAATTCCATTGATATTTATGTATTTGTCTATTTCTCCATTTAGCTTTTTTTTTCACTTTTTGGATTATATATTTTGAGGATGTCCTATTAGGTGCATACAAACATATAAAGTTTTTATGTTTTTTTGTTGGATTGACCCTTTTATCATTATGGAATGTTCCTTTTTATCTCTATTAATACCAATTTCCTTGAAGTCTACTTTCTGTGATTAGTATAACTATACCACTTTTCCTCTGGCTTTGCTAAGTATATGCAAAATATTGTTTGTATGTTGTATTTTTTTTTCTGTTTTTCAACCATTTCCTTACCTTATTATAAGGTGTATCTCTTGTAATCACCATGTACTTGGATTTTTTTTAAAAAAAACCAATCTGAAATTGTTTGTTCTTTAATTGGATTTGGAGTCCTTTTACATTTAACATAATTACTGATAACTGGATTAAAATTTGCTATTTCCCTTTCACCATCTGTTTCTTTTTTCCTCTTGGCAATTAAACACTTGTTATTATTCTATTTTTCCCCTTGAATGTTTGTTAACTATAAATTCTTTAGTAGTTACCCTAGAGATGATTTCTTAAGAGACGAAGACTTCTATTTCTTTGTTTTTTTTCTACAATACAGTAGTTCAGGGGATCCAATGGACATTTGCAACAAATTCTTGTAGATTTACTGTATTCTCTTAATGTTTTTAAAGGACCTGAAATATTTTTTATGAATACAATGTTGAGTAAATTAATTTAACTGTTGTTTTTAGAATCACACCCAGAAAATTTGATACTGTTCAAGCATCCAAGGGTCACAAAAGTGGAATTATCACCAGTGATGTTGAAGACTTGACTTTAAACAAGAGGGGAATACGGACATCATTTACATTTAGGAAAGTGAGGCAAACACCTTGTAATTGTAGTAAGTATATAATTTTGTTTCTACTGTAAATGGAGTAAATCTAGTTTGAAAATCTTTTAAAGTCCATCAGAACTGAGAAGAGCTTTGTCTTAACTCCTGTAATGGCATTTACCATATTCTGCCTTGTATTGTACTTACATATACTTTTCTTAACCACCCTCGTTAGAGTTTATATTTCTTGAGGGCAGGAACTGTATCTTATTCATCTTTATTTTCCTTAAACATAGTACTTGAGTTGGATTCTAAATGTTTCATTTATCGTACTCATGGTTAAGAGGACTACTATTTGGGGGCATTAAAATATCACTGTACAAAAATAGATTTTTTTGTGAAACAGCTTATCACATTTCTAAATTACTTCTCATTAACCCAACAGGGAAATTGAAGATGACAAATTGTTCTATAATAAATAGATAGCTTTAGTGGGATAAAGAGTGGTTTGTCTTATTTGGAAAGGAGTGTTCAAAAACTTGTCAGGAGGATGCTGTTTTGTATTGTCTCTATAAGTGCATCATTTCCTGTTTTTCTTGGACTCAATAAATTAAAAACCCTGTTTGTTTTACAAGTAATGACAGTGATGTTAAGATTCTTTTTATATCTTGGTGTTTCAATTATGGGAGGTATCTCAGCAGGAGCTTTTGGACTTAGTCATCTTAAAATTATGTTTTAAATTAGAAATCCTTTTTATATGTGCATGAAATTATTCTGTTAGGAAACTTGAAAGCTTCATGTTTGATTTTGTCATGTTAGTGAAGCATAAAATAGGTTTTAACAGATTTTTGTTTCTTCTGCTAAAAGTGGCAATGAAGACTTAAAATATCAATTTTTTCATTGATTAAAAATGTTTATTTAGTGTTTGATGAGTGTCTAACACAGCCATAGATTTAAAGGCTATAAAAAAATAAAGTATGGCTCTTGTACCACTGGAACTTGAAGTCTAGTAGGAGAGAGAAGTTCATTTTCTTATGCCAATATTTTTGTTGTTGTTAGGGACAGTAACTAAGTAATTTTTATTTTTTAAATTATAAAAGTATGATAACATTTACAGGAGACTTGGAAATGCAGAACGAAGTTATATATAGTTTTACAATATATTACAATTATTTTTAAATAGATAAATTAAGATTTTTATTTGGAGTTTCATTATCAAACTCTCAAAAAATAATTGAATGTACAGAAAAATAGAAGGATATAGTAGATCTGAAAAGCTCTATGAACCAGCTCAACAAATTAAGATTTATGCAAATTTTCACACAGCAGCAGGGTACAAATTCTATTTAAGTTCCTATAGACTATGAAGCAGGAGACATGAGAATATCCAGGGACATAAAACAAGGTGCAAAATTTTCATGATCACACACTAGCAAAGTAATGATCAAAATTCTCCAAGCGAGGCTTCAACAGTACATGAAATGAGAACTTCCAGATGTTCAAGCTGGATTTTAAAAAGGCAGAAGAACCAAAGATCAAATTGCCAACATCCTTTGGATCACGGGATGGGGAATACATGTAAATCCATGGCTGATTCATGTCAATGTATGACAAAACCCACTACAATATTGTAAAGTAATTAGCCTCAAACTAATAAAAATAAATGAAAAAAAAGAAAAAGCAAGAGAGTTCCAGAAAAACATCTACTTCTGCTTTATTGGCTATACCGAAGCCTTTGACTGTGTGGATCACAATAAACTGTGGAAAATTTTTAAAGAGATGGGAAAACCAGACCATCCTACCTGCCTCCTGTGAAACCTGTATGTGGGTCAAGAAGCAACAGTTAGAGCCAGACATTGAATAATGGACTGGTTCCAAATTGGGAAAGGAGCATGTCAAGACTGTATATTGTCACCTTGCTTATTTAACTTCTGTGCAGAGTATATCATGTGAAATGGTGGGCAGGATGAAGCACAAGCTGGAATCAAGATTCTAGGAGAAATATCAAAACCTTGGGTATGCAGATGACACCACCCTTATGGCAGAAAGTGTAGAACTAAAGAGTCTCTTCATGAAGGTGAAAGAAGAGAGTGAAAAAGCTGACTTAAAACTCAACATTCAGAAAACTAAGATCATGTCATCTGATTCCATCACCTCATGGCAAATAGATGGGGAAACAATGGAAACAGTGACAGACTTTATTTTCCTTGGCTCCAAAATCTCTGCAGATGGTAATTGCAGCCATTAAATTAAAAGATGCTTACTCCTTGGAAGAAAAGCTGTGACCAACCTAGACAGCATATTAAAAAGCAGAGACGTTACTTTGCCAACAAAGGTCCATCTAGTTAAAGCTATGGTTTTTCCAGTAGTCATGTGTGGATGTGAGAGTTGAACCATAAAGCAAGTTGAGTGCCGAAAAATTGATGCTTTTGAACTGTAGTGTTGGAGAAAATTCTTGAGAGTCCCTTGGACTGTGAGGAGATTAGACCAGTCAATCCTAAAGGAAATCAGTCCTGAATATCATTGGAAGGACTGATACTGAAGCTGGAGCTCCAGTACTTTGGCCAGTTGATGCGAAGAACTGACTCATTGGAAGAGACCCTGATGATAGGAAAGTTTGAAGGCAGGAGGAGAATAGGACGACAGAGGATGAGATGGTTGGATGGCATTATGACTCAATGTACATGAGTCTGAGCAAGCTCTAGGAGTTGGTGATTGACAGGGAAGCGTGGCGGGCTACAGTCCATGGGGTCACAAATAATTGGACATGACTGAGCAACTGAACTGAACTGAACTGAAAGATATTGAAATCATACAGAGTCTGTTATCTTATCACTGTGGAGTTATGTTAGAAATCAATATAAAAAGATATTTGAAAATAATGTACATATTTTCAAGTACAGTGTGACATTTACCCAGAGAGATCTTTGGCTATCCATGGAAAGCCTCAGGAAGGTTAAAAGCCTGAAAAAACACAGAGGGTGGTTGCAGAGAAGAAAGCATTTAAGTGAGCAATTAATATCAACATGATAAATTAATATTAAGGATACTTAAAAATCTCCATGTATTTGGTAATTAAATGTCTACTTTTAAATGATGGGTGTATCTAAGAAGCCATAACAAGGAAAATTGGACAATATTTATAACAGGACAAAAATGAAAGGAAAATTTGTTGCATGCAGCTGAAGGTGCTCAGTGCAACTAAATACAGTGTGGAATCTTAGATAAGGTATGAAAACAAATAATGGACACTAGCATAAGTGAAATTTGAACAAAATCTGAACTTTAGTTACTAATACTGTATCATATGGTAATTTCCTCTTTTTTTTTTTTACAACATAATATTTCTTTATTTTCAGAATTGGATTAGAAGTTTCAAGTCTCATTCAATTTTTTTTCAAATGTTAATAAAATAATAAACTTTTAAGACTTTCAACAGTAATACTAGATGCCAGAATAATTGGACCTATATAACGTTTTGAGTGAATATAAATTAGAAATCTAACATTCTATATTCTAACTTAGTCAAGCAAGTGGGACCAAAATGTCATAAATTTTTTAGCTAAACAAAAATTTGTAAAGTTTCTAAAACATATATATTATACTTACTATTTATATATATATATATGTGTGTGTGTGTGTGTGTACAAAAGCTTTTCTACTACACTTGATAAAAGCCTGAGAAAGAACAGCAAATAAAGAGACCAAGAAATTGGAAAGCATAAACTAAATGAAATGGGAGTCTGATTAATGTTAATTAACTAATGTTAATTAACTAATGTTAATTTAGAATAAGGAATGCTGTAAGAAGCTCTGATTATTCAGTTTACAGATTTTTTTAAGAGTTCAAGGCCAACTTTTAGATACTTTTAGTCAAAAGTTATAGATTTAAGTGATCCTCCTTTTATGTAATTTAGATGTTCATAGTTTCGAAGAGAACACAATTTTTACCAAGACTAGTTGAAAGTAATTGTAATGTATATTGTAGTGTAATTGTAATTCTGTTGTAACTGACATACTAACCCATCTGTTGCCACATGTATGTTAGAGCCCTCAAAGTTTCTAGGGCTACCCTTTTCTTAAATGTCCACATAAAGTGTTTAGAGCCTCACTTTACACATTAGTAGGGACTAGACAGTTCCACCCCCATTCAAGATTTGGCATCTTCTAGTTACATTTAGGGAAAATTCCTGAAGTCATCAAGGCTACAGCCCAGTTTGCTGCTATACGATTCATAAATATTGCTGAAGTCTTGTCTGTGGTTTCTCTGGGAACACTACTTTTCCCTTTCTTCTCTAGTATACTACCCATAAAAAGATGTTGTGTGTCACAGGCTGGCTGAAGGCAATGGGAATTTAGAGCAGAGCAGAGAATAGGAAGAATTTGAAATGAATATTAGATGTTATTACAAAGATCAGGGAACAACTTCACAATTAATTTGACATATTGTTTCCTAAATTTCCTCAGTCACCCCTTTACTTTGTGCTCTACTTAGGATTTACCCTTTTTTTTTTGAAGGAGGTGTAGTCATTGAGAATGTGGGTTTTGGAGTCTCCGTTGCCTGGGTTCAAATCTTGACTCTGTGACTTACCATCTTTGTCACTTTAGTATCATCACAGTGTTACTGTGAGACAATATACATAAAAACCACTTCAAATGTGAAGTTGCTCAGTCATGTTCGACTCTTTGTGACCCCATGGACTGTAGCCTACCAGGCTCCTCTGTCCATGGGATTTTCCAGGCAAGAATACTGGAGTGGGTTGCCATCAAATAGTATTCATTAAATCTTGTGATTATTACCAAATCACACCCTGTTTCTAGGTCTGGTTCTTCTTCTGAGAGTATTAGGGTCCCCAGAACTCCTACTAAGACAAAAACCCTAAATCCTGTTAATTGCTAAGTTTCTTCAGGTTAGGCCAGGCCCATCAAGATCCTTTCTTGAATATCTTAATCCAAAGATAAAACAGTCATCTTCAATATAAGGCATGCAGAATTAGTCATGTTTTGTTGTAGATGGATTTATCCTTTCTTATATTAGACCCTTCACATACATAACTGGTGAAAACTAC